CAATTTCTACCTTGAACGAAGGTGTATTATATTATACAGACTCTCTGATTTGGTTTAATGATAAGAAAACAGAACAAACGCCTTCACGCTCCACCACAACAAATGTCCTTCGTGTCGTTCTTAATAATGAACGTAGAATAGTATATGTGCGACTATAGTATATAGGTTATAGTCTCCAAAAAACTCTTAACTTCTAACGTAAATTATTTTGCTAAAAATTATAGCTATAATCTACCTTAAAATCAAAAATTTAATGATAATAATATATTTTACTTATAAATATGCTGTTAATTGGGTAAAAAAAATCATAAAATCGAACTACGAAAAACTAAATTAGTACTTTCAAATACAAGCTATGTAATATCTTTAAAAATAAGGGTATAAGTAATATGATTTTCACTAAAACCAAATACATATATTCTTTTCTGACAATAATACTGATACCTAAGTAATTTACTGAATATTAAACAAATTCTCTAAAAGGCCGATTTATAAAAATTACTTAGTCACATATTATTTTGTTATTAGTTTCATACATTTTTAAATGTTTAAAATGTAAATAAGATATAAATATATGATATTTTGACAAATTATTTGCTATTAAATTAATAATTAACTATAATATGCACCCATAAATTCTAAATATTATAGAAACAAAAATAGCCGATGAAGATGCTGTTTTTTTATATTTAAAAGTATAACATAGTTTAATTTTAATAATGAATTACTTATTATTATTTAAATAAAATTTTTAATTTATTAGCTACCTACCCATTTTTATATTATTGAATGTGTTCTTTAAACATAAGGCAATAATTCACAAAACATGCACCTCCTGATTTTATAATAATGTTGATCTAAAATCCAGATAAAAGCCCACGATGGCACCATTAACCATTTTAAATGTCAGAAAAAATATAATACAAATCTAATTATTAACTTTATGAATAAAAGTACCATAATAGTAAAATAATTCTGTACTTATATTTTGACAATTAACACAAATAGTTACATTAAATACAATAAGTAGCTTAAGAAAAACATAAAGCATTACGTTGTCAATTACCTTTTTTTAAAATAGAAACATCGTATATAATATTAATTATAGTTTAAAATAATAAAAATAATAATTCTATAAAAAATCATAAAAATCAGAAGGCCGTATAAGTAACAATGGAATTGATAAAGACAATATCAATTCAATATTCGTTTTACTTCGTTCTACACTTCTAAATATCTACAAAACACACCAAGAAGAATAATAATCAAGTATATTACCAAATAATTTATACAAAAATGACAAATAGTCTATAAAATGTATAAAATATAAACATAATATACGATATATAACTAAAGTTTTTTTTTATTTATTTGTTAGACCGTTACATTAGTTAAATTGTTTATAATAATCATCATGGAATATATATGTTGACGTTTTATCTGAATAATATTTAGATATCTATACGTAACATAGCATCGGATACATTACAGTAAAGACATTTTTAAAGACTGTTTCATGTCGAAAATCATATTACGTGATGTCAGTTATACAAAATAATATATCTCTTCTAAAAAATATACTTTTATTATAAACATTTGTAACTATTGTAAGTATACACAATGGCAAAGCGCTATCAGACTTATCATGTTTAGATGTATTGAAAATATTTATTTTAAATTAAAACTATTTCAAAAATCAGTAATAAATAAATTTAACATTGATTACCTAAATAGTAAATAATATAATAGTTTTTATAATACCCTGCATATTATATATGTTTAATATATTTAAAATGTCCAAATAAATTGGTTTAAAAAAATTAAGCCAATAATTTATGTTTTGTATATTAGCTATTTAAGTACTGTCGCAATTTATTAATTCAAAAAGTTTTGTTAATGGAACATCATATTTATTACTTATTTATAGTTGATAGATACTATACTACCACTCAGGGATATAAAATTTTTTAAACGTTACGTACAAATAATTACCTAGTTTTCTTCTGCATGTCATTAAGTTATAAAATATATATATAAAAAAAATAATTATAGAATTTAGACTATTAGTCATTGCGCTATGTTAAGTTTAATATGTTATATTCTACGTTTTTAACAAACCTACATTTTTTTTTCTGGAAGTACTTAAATTTTGGTTTTCTTATTTATTATTAAAAATATAATAAATAATAAGTATTTAAATTTTTTATCTACTACAAATTTTCCATCTTGCTATAAATAGTAAATATAGTAATGTTCAAATATAAATAATATACTATTTAGTAATTTCATTATTAATAAGTTCAAATAGTTCAATGAATTATAATATCTGCAAGGTCTTAACAAACTTGCCAATTTAATTCTAACCTTCTTTTCATACTCATACAAATCATTTAATAGATATTATATATTATAATAAATATATCCACATACAATAAACTATAGTCTATAATAATAATTACTTTCTTCTAAAATTACAACAGAATCGAATAATGAATGTTTCATTATTTTTATTTATTATCTTTTATCTGACGTATAATGGGTTTAAAACAAATCTCCAAACAAAGCACATAAAAATAACAGAATCAAGGTTACTATATGTATTAGTTTTTACTGTTCATACAATATTTTAATTATTATTATATTTCTAAAAATGTATTAAATAATAAAAATAAAAAATTTAATTTTATGTATTCTAATAAAGTTGATCTCTATCTATTAAATAATATAAATTAAATATAGTAAATAGTTAAAATAATAATATTAATAATAGTTAATTATAATATCATTAAATAATATTCCCTTCCAACTTAAAATTTATATTAATTTTATCTGCATTTTTAGAGTAACAACTAACAAATATTTATTGTAGAAGTTTTTAGTTTCTACCAATGTCAGCCATTTGTATATATTATTACTAATGTTTTTATTACATAGCAATCGATATAAATAAATAATTAATTGAAAATTGTAAGATATTTAATGAATTATTAACTAAATTATGAAGTTATGGTAAAAATAAATATTTAGTTTATGTTTAATCCATTATAGATTTATATAATATATTACAATATATTATGTTATGTAATCTGTAAGATTTACAATTCACTAATAATCAACTTAATATATAACGGTTAGACTGAGCATGTTTTCGTGATAAGACAATATATTATTCTATAATCTATACATTGTTTCTATACGTGAGCAAATTACACGGCTATTCTCTAATATAGGGAAGTAGATTTCTTTTAAGATTCGCTTCTGCATTGTCATGCAGTTTTTAATTCTATTCAATCTTTCTTTCTTTGTGGTTTGTATGTTTTGTTTTGAATATATCATTATACGTCACATAGTATAATTTGCCTGACAGCCAAATATACTTATCCGGCGGTTGTGACAATGCAAAATTCAATACGCCTAAGTTTCTGTTACTTTTCGTAGTTAATGGACTGTTATAGAGAGTCTAAGAGTCTATTTGCTATTATACAGTATAACAGTTTCTGTAATGTACATCGGATTCCATAATCATGCTTCCGTTATTTCGTAAATATTTTATCGTGTACGATTAACAAAATTTATGAAACTGCATACATGTATAAAATATACTTATTATATAAATTATGATATTAATAACATTAACATTAACAATTTTTTTAACATTTACAAATATTATTTTTATTTTAAATTTTATAGTACTTAAAATTATATAGTTATATTTAAGTATAAACCAATAAGCTTAAATATTAAAATACAAATACAATAAACTGCAAATTAAATTAACTTAACTGTAAATAGGCATCTACTATTTATAAATATTTAATGTTAGAACACGAAGTATTGAGAAGATTAAAATATTGTAAAAAATTGACAAAATCGTCAAATCAAACCTAACCTGAATACAAATTTCATCTAATGGATAATCATGGTACATACAGGCACACAGCTAGCAGTCGTTCAAGTCACCAGATTAAAGTTTCCAAAACAAAAACAACAGTAAGATATATATGTAACCTACGTCTAATCATTACATTAATCATTATCGTTGCCGTCATATAACTAACATGACGACCTCGACAAACTAATGAATAGGAAAATGCACGTCGATTAATATTATTTCGTTCTGTAGGTATTTATAAGATATAATGTATAATCACAAAAAAAAATATATTATTTTTAATGATTACACTATAATACGCACTCTAGTATTATTTTATCGGATCTTATAGCCTATAGGCTATTGAAAAACTGTTAGAATGATAAGAAAATTTTGACAATAACGAACATTTTAAATACCTTAATGTTTTGATGGTCTACATTTTAATCAAAATACAAGTTAAGAGCAATAACTTACGGCAAGTATCATATACTACGAAATAGTGTTCTAACAGAGTTTTACACATGGACGACAGACTAGACTATAACTATACGTCAGAGACTTCGATCGAAACTTTCACATGACGGCAACAGGTACGATAATTATTGGTGACGGTGGTTACGCGCTATTACGTTATATACATATATATTATATTTTATAGTATATCGTCGTGACACAGAAATCTTCGCGACATATTATAACGACAATAATAAAGAAAAATATCGTGATATAGAGTTCTTGGGAATCGCAAGAAAGAAAATTTCCATTCGTGGGACCTGAGTACCACCGCCGCCACCCTAAGTTGGTATCGCACAGACATTGTTATCGTGTAGACTGTAGGTCTGCTAACACGTATATACATTAGGTACATCAATATCGGCCAATCACGGCATGTAAACTGACGCAAATCGTCAAAATAATATTATAACATGTACATAAAAAATTTCCCGTCCGAAATAAACGCAAATAGCGACTTACAGGTTACAATATTATTAAACCAAGTGCCAACTAAATAGGTATGTTAAGCACTACTATACGGCTGTTATTACTTACTAACTAGATATATATTAGGCTTATTTATTAGCTATTACTACAGTAATGGTTATATTATACGATCAACAAGACATACCCATTATAATTGCTGATGACTGTCTGTCCAGTCATAGATCCTACACACACACATACTGCAGTCTACCATGACGTATCCCATGTAGATCGCGTGTTCTAAATTGCCGTGTCGAACGCGTACTCCGTTCGCGAATCGAGACGTTCCGATTATCCAGCGACGCGGAATTGTAGCAAAAGAATCACAGAAACGAAAAAAGATTTAAAAAAATAATAATGCGTTGCCAGTAGTAAGAGTCGAACGCGCGACAACGACGAGCGTGCTATGAAACAAACGTACCACAAGTATGAGCGACCAGTACAGTCGTTTCTTCACTACTGAACCGCTTACCGCGCACGGACCGTCGTTGGCGGTGGTGGCGCGGCGGACCAAACAGTCCTCCGGTTTCGCCGCCGCCGCCGCCGCTGCCTCCACCGACGGACAGGTCGTTGCCGCCTCCGACTGATCGTCGAACGTTGCCGATCGTGGCCGAACGTCTTCGGATTGTCACGCTTTCACGACGTGTCAACACACGCAGCGTACACACCGTTGAATCGACTCAAATTCGCGCTACGGTATTTCGGCCGACGGCCGTCGATCCCCATGGGGACGACGACAAAAGACATGGCTCTTTTGCACTCCAGCTCTCCATTCTCCACAGATCAATCATATCCTATAGTACTCCTAAAAAAAAATGAACGTTTTAAGCATTTTTACTATAGTTGATTTTATGTTATCGTTTGTGACTATACTGCAGTTTGTAAAATAATAGGTACACAAAAACGTAATGATATCTAAATCATTATTATAATGTATTATTGTTAAAAACCCCATACACGATATATTATTTTACTATTAGGTATTATTATATTGTTTTCATTGTCTGACCGAAAAGTGTGTAGAAGAAAAATCGAAGAAAATGTGAATAATTTATTATTGTCTAAAAACGCGTGAATCCAATCTATTTCGTTTTCCAATGTCCTAACTGTGTACAATACAATAGATGTTATATTATGCAGACCTACGCGTATGTGTATGTACATGCCTGTGCACGTGAAAATGACAGCGGAAGTAACTACACAATGATTACAAGTATAATACGGGCGATAATGTGTCAAAAACCGTATTTTCACTCTGGTAAATGTTTAAAAAAAAAAAAAATTAAAACACAAAGCATCGGTTGACGCGTGTTACGGCGCGTGCGGTGTGTTTACTGGTATGTCGTGAAATTAAAAATATTATTATTTTAATATCTAAACCGCATGTATAATATGAAAACTATAAGTTAGGGTCCGGAACTATACCCCGATAATAATATACAATAATATGCATATAATTTTCTCATTAATTTTTTTGACGTTTAGTAAAAACGGCGTAGTGCGTATAGTGACAATTTATATAGATATCTCGCGTCAACCTATATGTTAAATAAGGTAAGTATATAAATCTACGCAAATATCAATCTTGCAGACGTTATCTGCATTTTTCAATTTTTCTTCTCATCGTGACTTTTACATTTAAACATTATTATTGTACTTTCCAATGCATTATATACCCGATTATATAGTTATATTAATTTAATTATTCTTGTGAAATTTACATAAGCATACGAAAAATATGCATACCTCATATCATACAATAATAAACTATAATACTACTTGGTCACATCAAATTTATGTTATAAATACCTATATCAGCTACATATATATAAATTATAAACAATATAATTATTATGGTTGATATGAAAATAAAATACATATAGTATTTTTATTACTCTCATAAACGCATATGATCTACAAGTATATACCTAATCGTGAATAATGATTATTTATTTTATTAATAATATGAAAAATGCTCAACAAAAAATCTACTGTAAAATATTTAATAATATCTAAACAAAATTATGTATATATTATGATTTATGATGCATCTGTGATATTTTAAAAATTCTAGTACAGGAAAGATTAGAAAATATTTGATTATCTAAAAATATATAGCTTTTTTACTTTTAAATTTTTAAATAAAGGTAAAGCGATGGATGTATTATTTATTTAGTTTAACAATGATATGTAGTGAGTGTGTAACATTTTTTGTGAGTTGTTTTACCTTATAGTACAATGACATTTCTCCAAAATTCTATTTTGAACGTAGTGTTGGTGAGTAATTGAATCTAATTGGTATTTTTGGAAGGCCATTAATATTTGAAAATTAAACTTCAAGTACTTACAAAAATAATAAAATTGTGATAAATAAAAATATTTATAAGATATAGGTACTTTATATTTATTACGCAGCAGAGCAACTTCCCTGGTTTTTTTTATATTGAATTTTACTTAACAGATAAGATAACGAATCGTCCAATTAATATCATGTCGTATATTTGGAAGTTTTTGAGAATTTTTATAACATTTTTAACATAGGTTTCTAAGATATGATTTTGAGAGTCAATACTAAGAAGCAAAGAAACTGTGACTATTTTATAAGTGTGAGGTGTTAATTAGTGTTCGTACTAATCTATATTATATAAGTATGCTATATTATAAAATATTAAGTACCTGTCTAATTATTTAAATACAATAAATTCTAAAAATAAAAATATGTATATATAAAATTGTATAATATACAAGTATGAAGTAACTACACAGAACTGTATAATTGTTACAACTAACATGTATTGGTATAAAATATGCATCAAATAATTACTAATTTATGTGCATCTACCTTGACTCGTCAGTAAGACACCCGAAGTTTAATCCTTGAAAAACTGACGACGCGTTTCGTCGGACCGCAGGTGATGAAACTCGAAAATACACGTAAGTATACAAGATTCGTTTAATTCGACGAAAAAAATGTAGTAGCACTATTAACACTACGTACCGGCATAATAAAACGAACTAGCAGACGCCTGACAGTAAAAACTAATAAGTAATAACCATAAACTTTATTTTCAGATAATATAACGTATTTGGTAATAACATTGATAACTAATAATGCTCACTATGCTTATGTTACTTACGATTAAGTAACCACTACTTTTTTTCATCGAACGCTCACTGTTTTACTACGGCAGGACTATTTTATAGTTAAAAATTTCACCAGAATATGTCACCTAGCATAGGAACTATTGTTTAGGATTTGACGTTACGATTTTTTGTTTTACTATATATAAAATAATCAAATGTTATTAATATTATTATATATACTGTATCGAGTTCAATTTTTTTATACGTATCTAGTTAACTACAGCGTAGTAATATTAATGCATATTTAATTTCAGTGTACACTATATAATACAATATGGTACATACATAATATGTGATTTAGTGACGTTTAAATTGTACGATTGAATTTTAAGTCAGGCGAAAAAATGTGAATTATATTATGTCTATATCATGTCAAATAATATATACGTAATAATATTATATTGGCTTGTTTTGATAAGTAAATTATTAATTATTATTAATATTCCCAAAGTGCATTTGTGGCTTATTTCATGTTTATATTAAACTTTTATGTTAAAATAAAAAATAAAATAAATTATTAAAAATAAACTTAATGAACTATTCGTATAATTTTTAAGTAGTTGAAATAATAAAGATTGCAATACTTGATTAATATTGTTTGTATTGTTTTAAATTTTTTTATAAACTTATTTATGGTTAATACTAAATACTAAGACTTTTTTGTACAATATTATCACGTAGACAAATGTTATATTCTACTTATAAATAATGTGAGTATTGAATAATTCGAATAATATTCATAAAATATATACTCTATACAGCCTAATTTATTTATTTTTTAATTTACTTAAAGGATATAAGGATAATATCCACTGAAATTATTACTACAATAGACAACATCACATGACAATAAACAATATTATAACCTTAATCAAAAGATTCACAACAACTATAGTTTGCAGATTTGAATATTGTTGAATAATAACATGCCTTAAGAAATAAATATAACCTGCTTAAATCAATGACTTCAAAAACTAATTATAATTTTTATTGTAAATTCTTATATACCAATCAAGTATTTTATTCATCAAAATCAATGCTCTTATAGTATCTACTATATAATTTTACTTGGAATTTAGTTAGTTTAAAACACACTTAAAATTGTAATTTTCACTAAGAGTTAAATAATTATTTTTATTGATAGTAAATTGCAAATTAAATAGAAACCTTGGTGATTGATTATAAAAGAGAAGATTTTAAAACCCTGTTTGTTATAAAACTGTACAAAGATTAAAAGTACTAAACGAAGAAGAAATGATAAAATTTTCAGATGACCGGGATAATATCAAACAGATACAAAATATAATATAATAGATAAATAGGTATTATAATTTATAATTTGAAAATCTTAACTAATTAACATTTAAAAAAATATTTCAATACATTGTTTATTATACAGAGTGATTCACCGATCATGCTAATCTCCATTTTTCTTTTAATTATGAATTTATTCAAATTTTGAGTTTTTGAGGAGTTTTTAAATTCACTCAAAAATCAAATATAAAAATTTTTTAAATGTTTTGTATTGCTTAAAGAGTGTATTGTGATGATGCAAACTTCTGTTTTTTAAAAGAGATCTCTCTGTATTACTATAAATTATTTAGCGGATAATTTTATTGAAAATATTGATGAATATAATTCAAAATTCAAATAAATAGTTTTTCAGTCATGAAAATGTTTATACTAAGGATTATAATCCCTAAAAATAGTTTTGCAAAGGTACAAATTATACATAATAATGATTCTAGTATTATTTATACTTGGGCCATTTTTACAAATTATAAATATTGATAGATTAATATTAATTAGTAATTACTAACATTTTCAAATCCTTATATATCCCAAAAATATCATCATGGACTTTTTATCCTTAGCAGGTACCAGAATTAAACGTCTCGAAAACTACTTGTTTGAATTTCGATTTTGAAACGTCATATTTTTCAGAAAAATTATCCACTAAATAATTTACTTTCGAAAACAGAGTATTTTCATTTTAAAAACAGATATTTAAAACTCCGCAGAACATATTCTTTTAATAGTACAAATAATAATTTTAATAGATTTAAAAATTGCAAATATCAGATTTTAAATATAGCTACGCGTTACTGAAGAAAAAAGGAAATGAGCATGTTTAGTGAATTACGCTGTACATTCTATCTCTCAATTTCCTATCGTTACCCTATGTCTATCATCTTGGCTATCTACTTACCAATTTTAGCACATAATAAATATTTAAAAAAAAAAAGTTATAACAATTTTATTCGAATTCTACAGTTTAATATTGATTGGTATAATACATTAAAAATATATATATTTAAAAATAATTAGTTTAAAAATGAATTCAA